TATTTGATGTAATGACCAATGTCCTCTTCGAGCTCTTCAATTATGGAGACTCCGATAATGTTAATTTTCAAAAAAATAAAGAAATCCCGTCGAAAACAATCAAACCCTAGATTTTATATTCCTTCAAATAATAACATTAATGCGAATATTAACATGCATTTTGAGGAGTCGTCAAGAAGTGATGATTATAACAATCAATTAGCTGGGGTGAAGGAATAGTGAGAATTTAGTATTTATGTTGGGATTGAACAAGAATAAACTAGCAGCGGAAGATAATGTCAATCCCACTATTGTTCAGAAATTAAAGAATATGGCAATAATAATATCCAACTCCAATAACTCACACACACTTGCAGGAAATTTAACAATAGAACACAAGAATTTGTTCACTAGAGAAACCCTTCAGCGTGAAGGAAAAACCTTGGGACCTAATCCTGTAAAAGTCATTCACTATGAAAATAATGGAATACACAGTTAACTTTCTCTAGAATACACTCCAGAGGCTACCAATACATTCTTGGATATCAACAACAACATCATTCCAAAATGGATACACAAGATAATAGATAATAGAGAGAAAATCTCACTAAATGAGTATAGACTGCCCAAAGAAATAGAGAAGAATTTGGATGATCAGCTGCAATGAAAACGTAGCCAGGACTAACGCACTGAAATTTTTCTGAAATTTCAACTTAATCGGACCACAAATAGGCTTCGATCATTGACAAACAGAGGCTAAAGTTTCTTCTCTCTCTCTCTCGTCTTTTCCTGTCCAAAGAAGTAGAAAAGCAACCCATATCTTTTCTCTATCTCGTCTATATCTATTTGTATTTTTGACTTAAGTTTTCTGGAATGCTGTTGGAATCGATCTTTTTTTTGTTTGTTTAGTTGTCCAATTAGGAAATATCAAATGTCGAAGAAGGAGGTCCAACCGAACGAATCACGCGGACCATTTAAGTGGATTGGGCCCTTAATGGGCCAACAAATGGGTAAGTCTCTCAAGTGGAGGGAAAGCCCAACAATTAAGAAGCAAGGAAGAGGAAGGTGATATGAGTAAAGAGAATTTTGATAAAAATATGGGTTTTGGTGGGTGCTGATTTTGGGGAGTGCGTGGGTTGGGGGGAAGGGGGAAGAGTGGAGAAGAAGATGAATAGTGTTTTTTGATTTAATTATTAATATATTGTAATTATTTTTTTGGTTGAAAAATGTAAAGTTACGATTTTATCCTTTTAATAGTCAAAATTATGGTCAATATTAAGTTTTAGGTCAACTAACAGTCAAATTAACAGGTTCCATTCATTTGGACTTTAACTGCGAGTTTTTGAAAGGTTTGGTATCGTGGGTAGTACAAATAAAAAGTGTGGGTCAAGTCTGTTAATAAACAAAATGTTTGACATCTCGAGTACAATTTTCCCTAGTTGATATTAAGGGTTTGTTTGGGAGTGATTTTTCCTCCCAAAAAATTGATTTCTTGACTGTTATTTCACTATTCCAGCCATCATATTTGATTTCTTCTCTCACATGTAGACCCCACTTTTCTCCTAACGGTCAAAAAATCAATTTTCAAAATCACTCCCAAACAAGCTCTAAATAACAATCTCCTCCTTTAGACGCGGGTAATAGTTACCATTTTCCAGAAGTACTATAATGCCCCTGTTTGGCCCCCATTTCGTGGTAATGAGAATGTGTGAAATAGTGTTTTTTTTTAAAAATGAGTGATTGAAAAAGAAATAAAAATTTTCGATTTACGCATAATATTATTTTATTGAAGATTGTGTAGTTGAAAATAAAAGAGAGAAAAATGAAATGTAATAGAATGAAAATTAATGGGGATCAAACGGGGGCAATATCTTCCCATTTTTCCTCAACCCTATTTCAGTACTTTCTATTAAATATGACACTAAAAAAATTCATCTTTCCGTCATCGAAATATTACAGAATAAATAAAGGAACGTGAAAATAAATTTTTTATATATATAATTGATTATTGAAAAAATAATTAGCAGCTAAAATAAGTTGTACGAGCTCGATCTCGGTCCAAATTGGCTCGAACAGCTTCGTTCCTCCAGAGGCTTCCCCTTCTGCGTCGCTTCCAACCTCGAGAATTTCCTCAACAACCCGACTTCACCGGACCTTAGACAACCAAATACTATCTCGAATCAGAACCTTGACCTGATTCCATCCCAAACTGACTCGAGTTTCTATCGAATCCAGAAGGAGGATAACCAACTATTTGATGTAATGACCAATGTCCTCTTCGAGCTCTTCAATTATGGAGACTCCGATAATGTTAATTTTCAAAAAAATAAAGAAATCCCGTCGAAAACAATCAAACCCTAGATTTTATATTCCTTCAAATAATAACATTAATGCGAATATTAACATGCATTTTGAGGAGTCGTCAAGAAGTGATGATTATAACAATCAATTAGCTGGGGTGAAGGAATAGTGAGAATTTAGTATTTATGTTGGGATTGAACAAGAATAAACTAGCAGCGGAAGATAATGTCAATCCCACTATTGTGCAGAAATTAAAGAATATGGCAATAATGATATCCAACTCCAATAACTCACACACACTTGCAGGAAATTTAACAATAGAACACAAGAATTTGTTCACTAGAGAAACCCTTCAGCGTGAAGGAAAAACCCTGAGACCTAATCCAGTAAAAGTCATTCACTATGAAAATAATGGGATACACAGTTAACTTTCTCTAAAATACACTCCAGAGGCTACCAATACATTCTTGGATATCAACAACAATATCATTCCAAAATGGATACACAAGATAATAGATAATAGAGAGAAAATCTCACTAAATGAGTATAAACTGCCCAAAGAAATAGAGAAGAATTTGGACGATCAGCTGCAATGAAAACGTAGCCAGGACTAACGCACTGAAATTTTCTGAAATTTCAACTTAATCGGACCACAAATAGGCTTCGATCATTGACAAACAGAGGCTAAAGTTTCTTCTCTCTCTCTCTCTCTCTCTCTCTCTCGTCTTTTCCTGTCCAAAGAAGCAGAAAAGCAACCCATATCTTTTCTCTATCTCGTCTATATCTATTTGTATTTTTGACTTAAGTTTTCTGGAATGCTGTTAGAATCGATCTTTTTTTTGTTTGTTTAGTTGTCCAATTAGGAAATCTCAAATGTCGAAGAAGGAGGTCCAACCGAACGAATCACGCGGACCATTTAAGTGGATTGGGCCCTTAATGGGCCAACAAATGGGTAAGTCCCTCAAGTGGAGGGAAAGCCCAACAATTAAGAAGCAAGGAAGAGGAAGGTGATATGAGTAAAGAGAATTTTGATAAAAATATGGGTTTTGGTGGGTGCTGATTTTGGGGAGTGCGTGGGTTGGGGGGAAGGGGGAAGAGTGGAGAAGAAGATGAATAGTGTTTTTTGATTTAATTATTAATATATTGTAATTATTTTTTTGGTTGAAAAATGTAAAGTTACGATTTTATCCTTTTAATAGTCAAAATTATGGTCAATATTAAGTTTTAGGTCAACTAACAGTCAAATTAACAGGTTCCATTCATTTGGACTTTAACTGCGAGTTTTTGAAAGGTTTGGTATCGTGGGTAGTACAAATAAAAAGTGTGGGTCAAGTCTGTTAATAAACAAAATGTTTGACATCTCGAGTACAATTTTCCCTAGTTGATATTAAGGGTTTGTTTGGGAGTGATTTTTCCTCCCAAAAAATTGATTTCTTGACTGTTATTTCACTATTCCAGCCATCATATTTGATTTCTTCTCTCACATGTAGACCCCACTTTTCTCCTAACGGTCAAAAAATCAATTTTCAAAATCACTCCCAAACAAGCTCTAAATAACAATCTCCTCCTTTAGACGCGGGTAATAGTTACCATTTTCCAGAAGTACTATAATGCCCCTGTTTGGCCCCCATTTCGTGGTAATGAGAATGTGTGAAATAGTGTTTTTTTTTAAAAATGAGTGATTGAAAAAGAAATAAAAATTTTCGATTTACGCATAATATTATTTTATTGAAGATTGTGTAGTTGAAAATAAAAGAGAGAAAAATGAAATGTAATAGAATGAAAATTAATGGGGATCAAACGGGGCAATATCTTCCCATTTTTCCTCAACCCTATTTCAGTACTTTCTATTAAATATGACACTAAAAAAATTCATCTTTCCGTCATTTCCATTCATTTGGACTTTAACTGCGAGTTTTTGAAAGGTTTGGTATCGTGGGTAGTACAAATAAAAAGTGTGGGTCAAGTCTGTTAATAAACAAAATGTTTGACATCTCGAGTACAATTTTCCCTAATTGATATTAAGGGTTTGTTTGGGAGTGATTTTTCCTCCCAAAAAATTGATTTCTTGACTGTTATTTCACTATTCCAGCCATCATATTTGATTTTTTCTCTCACAGGTGGACTCCACTTTTCTCCTAACGGTCAAAAAATCAATTTTCAAAATCACTCCCAAACAATCTCTAAATAACAATCTCCTCCTTTAGACGCGGGTAATAGTTACCATTTTCCAGAAGTACTATAATGCACCTGTTTGGCTCCCATTTCGTGGTAATGAGAATGTGTGAAATAGTGTTTTTTTTTAAAAATGAGTGATTGAAAAAGAAATAAAAATTTTTGATTTACGCATAATATTATTTTATAGAAGATTGTGTAGTTGAAAATAAAAGAGAGAAAAATGAAATGTAATAGAATGAAAATTAATGGGGATCAAACGGGGGCAATATCTTCCCATTTTTCCTCAACCCTATTTCAGTACTTTCTATTAAATATGACACTAAAAAAATTCATCTTTCCGTCATCGAAATATTACAGAATAAATAAAGGAACGTGAAAATAAATTTTTTATATATATAATTGATTATTGAAAAAATAATTAGCAGCTAAAATAAGCAAAAAGCATTGTATCAGAAAAATAAGAGGAGACCTTTTGTGGGTCACACACACGTTGTCTTTAGGCAATTCCATGTGCCCACATGGCGCTGCTCATAATTTCCTGCCAGCGCGCACACACAACACACACTAAAATATACATACATATCACATACAATTATACACACAGTCTCCCTCTTTTGCGTCTTCCCTAATTCCCAATTCACATTTCTGTTAATTGCATAAAACCTTCCACAACCCAGAAATAATTAATATAGTTTCTTGAATTTATTCGAAAAATACTGCAAAAATGGAGAAGAACAGTGATGGGTTTGTGAGGGCCGATCAGATTGATTTGAAAAGTTTAGATGAGCAACTGGAGAGGCATCTCAATAGGACTTGGACTATGGAGAAAAACAAGAAAAATCAAGAAGATTCCCCCATCGCCGCCGCCACCACCACCACCACTACCGCCACCACAATCGGAGGCGGCGCTGCCAGTAGGACGCAGAGATATGAGTGGGAGATTGACCCCTCTAAGCTGATCATCAAGGGCGTCATTGCACGTGGCACTTTTGGGACTGTACACCGTGGCATTTATGATGGCCAAGATGTTGCCGGTCAGTCACCCCCTTGTCCTGTTATTTTATTTATTTATTTCCGTTTCTGTTCTGTAAAGTTTTACTTTTCACTTTTAAAAAGTTACTTTCTTTTTTACTTTTTGTCATATTTTTCCTGTGGGTTTGCTTCGTTTCTTAATGCACGGATTTTCCCTTTTTTCAAAAATTGTTCTGAATGGCATCATGAAGAAGATAGCCTCAAAATTGCTAATGATTCAGCTTGTTTTGCTATGACTACATGAACTTTTTAGCTGTTCCGTTAGGCCGTAAGCCCGTCAAAAGGTGCTTTTAAGTCTAATTCAATTAATACCTTGTCTATCAGTAATTTTTTTTTTTTTTTTTGATAGATTAAGCATGGTTATGAAATGAAAAGAATCTTAGACCCTTAAATCAATAGCAAAAACTGATCTTTTTCAGTATAATTATAATCTGGTCAGTTGAATGGGGTGGGGTGGAAGGGGTGATTTAAGGGTATTCTTATGGAATCCGTGACTTATGGCACGGGTTTGGATTGGATTTGGAGGTGTCAGTAATAACTTGGGGTGGTGTTTTTTCTGAACTTTCATGTGAAGCAACTGGCTGTTTAGTTTGACTTTCTTAAAAACAAAAAATGAGAGGAACTGTCTTGTAATGTAGTCATGCTAAAGTAGAGGCATTATTATAATGTTAATGTTAAACAAATGAAATTAATTAATGTTAATTTCTACCTGGGACCTAGGATCTTTGCAAATTGATTAAGGTTAATATTCATCAGATAGTATAGTTAGTGTTATCAAGAACTTTAAAAAAACTACACCCTTTTAGAATTTGTGGAGATTCAAATTTAATATTGAGTATAATACGATTTCATCCTACCAATAGTCAAGGATATAAAACATTATTAGGGCATAAAAACGATTTAAAGAAGTTTAGTGTTAGTCCTGATAAACATAGGATTGAATTCTTTTCTTGCCTCAGCATTTGGTATTTTTTTTTTCTCCGTGTAATCCAACTCTTTTTGGCCCAATTCCTTAGCATCACGGAGAAAGGGAGGTTTACAAAGGAGCACAGTTGTTGACATTGATTAACTATTCTTCGACATTGTAAAATTTGGCAAATTGGTCATTACATGTGTATGTTAGCTCGGCTCTTCGGCAAACTCATTAGAATTTTCATTACTTCACAATTTTCCTTTTTCCTTTTCCCAGTTTTTATTTATTTATTATTATTATTATTTTTTTATGGGTTCATTCCCTCAAATCATTCATCTACTGTCCATATAAAATTAGAATATCACTATTAGAGGGAATCGGATAGTGATAAAACCATTTGTTCTTTTCTTTTCTCTCAACTTGTGTTGGCTGGGACCAGCAAACTGAATGAATGTTGCTCTGGCATGGTTACTATTTGCTACACTAAAATGATTGAAATATTATTGAATTTTACTTTATTTAGTATTCACATTTTGGTAGTTTTTGGTGATCAGTTAAACTGTTGGACTGGGGGGAAGAGGGCCACAGGACGGAAGCTGAAATTGCGTCGCTGAGGGCAGCTTTTACTCAAGAAGTTGCAGTTTGGCATAAACTTGATCATCCTAATGTAACTAAGGTTGTGATCTACTTCTAATACCTGTGCACTTATTTGATATATGTGGACTCACGTTGTCTATGTTTGTTAAGTTCGTCTGTACCATAACTGTGTGGTCCCACTCTGACCGTAGCATACTTCTTATTCATGGAATCTGTTATAATTACCGGAACTAATTGTTTATCTTCTATCTAAACTTTTATCTTTTATTCTCTTTCTACTGTTGGTCTTAACATTTTGTGTTTAACCCCATTATGTAGTTTATTGGGGCAACAATGGGGTCTTCAGAACTTAATGTTCAGACGGAAAATGGTCACATTGGAATGCCTAGTAATATATGTTGTGTTGTCGTTGAATATCTTCCGGGAGGTGCTTTGAAATCTTACCTTATAAAGAACCGGAGAAAGAAGCTCGCATTCAAAGTAGTTGTACAGATTGCACTGGATCTTGCCAGAGGGTACCTGTTATTCAGATTCTGGATTCTTTTTGATTTATATTCATTCGTCGTTTATCTGACCACTTGATAATTTTCAATTAAATATTTCATTTTGCAGGTTATGTTATCTTCACTCTCAGAAGATTGTTCACAGAGATGTTAAAACCGAAAATATGCTGTTAGACAAGAACCGCACAGTGAAAATAGCAGATTTTGGAGTTGCCCGTGTTGAAGCCTCAAATCCAAACGACATGACGGGAGAAACGGGGACCCTTGGCTACATGGCTCCCGAGGTTAGTCATCCATCATTTCTTTGGTAGGTAGTACTCATTATAGGAATCTGTGATGGAAGTCGAAACTATTTCATGTTCTTGCATGTCTTTTCTTGTTCATAGGAAAGCTATCTTGATTCTTAACTTTCTCAAATGGTTCGCCTAATGCTCGTTCTCATGGTTCATTAACGATTGCACCCATTTGCATGAAGTAAAATTTTTGTCTAATCGTGTTGTTGAGTTGTGTCTAATAATGTTTAATATTACTTAATATCTGAAACATCATTTGCCACTTTGCTTTTGTTTCTCTCGAACCCATAGACCTCGGAAACTGCCCCTCTCCTTGATTCCCCAGAGGGGGGATGAAAAGCCGAACTTGGATTCATAGAAGAACTAAAACCAAAACTAAACAAAAGAAAGCTGAATCAACTACAAAATATGAATAAAAAATTGACCCCGATTGCCTACTAATGTCAGTTGAATGTCTAAATGATGACCTTCAGGTCCTCAATGGCAACCCGTACAACAGGAAATGCGACGTATACAGTTTTGGCATCTGTTTATGGGAGACGTATTGTTGTGACATGCCATATCCCGACCTTAGTTTTTCAGAAGTGACTTCAGCAGTTGTTCGCCAGGTATTTGCATTTTCTTTATTATATGTTCTATATTCATTGATCTAAATCTGGCAAAAAAATAAATAAATTGCGATTTACTCTATTCTTTTTATAGAATCTAAGGCCCGAGATACCTAGGTGTTGCCCGAGTTCCCTTGCTAATGTGATGAAACGATGCTGGGATGCCAACCCGGATAAGAGGCCTGAAATGGACGAGGTAGTTTCCATGTTAGAGGTCATCGACACAACGAAAGGTGGAGGAATGATCCCTCCTGATCAACAAGAAGGTTGTTTCTGTTTAAGGAAGCGTCGCGGGCCTTGAAAATTTATGTTCGGGCTAGCTTATGACTATGTTTCTTAAGCTCAATTTCCAAACATTGAAATCTTAATTATGGACATAAAAAGAACTGGAATTTCTGAGCCAAGAAACTCTATAATGACGAGATGTGTTGCAAATATTTTGAACGGTATATATTTTATTGATCGTTTACTTCTAATATTTCATTTGCTTCTGTTTCTAGTTCTTCTTTTTTTCTTCTTTTCTTTTTTCATTTTTGTGTCTGTTGACACGCTAAAAGTGCAGCCCAAAGAATGAAGCCCAACTGGGCAATTCAGGATAAATGTCCAAATAAGGTTATTAATGAATGCAGTGGAAGCCCACAAATGCGATAACACCATCGCCCAAACTTGCAAGACGTCTAAGATTTGAGCGAATGAAGTGCCTTGCAGTCGCCCAGGGTTATGACCATGTTCTCGTCCAAACCTTCGAATCGTCTAGGATCTTAGCAAACAAAAGATGTTATGGTTATCCAAAAGTACAGTTATCGAAGTAGTTATTAAGTAATTTTATCACGTTCCACAATTCAAGGATGTTCAGTTGAAGACGGTTAAACGACAAAGAGTAGTGGCAACAGTTAGAGACGGTAGTTCTACGATAAGTTGGCCACCATGAAGAAAGTGGACAGTTATAAAGCAATTAAGCGGTTTCTAAGCGGTTGATCACGAAGAGATCATCAAGGGAATATAAAAGAAAGAAAAGACATAGAGCAAAGGATCTCGAATCAAACAACCTCAAACAAAGAATATGTAATTTCAATTTCTTAGTTTAGACTTAAATATTTCTTTCAGTACTCGTGTGCTTGCGCCCCTTGGAGGCATCCTGTTTAAGTTTCAATTGTAAAGTCATCGCCAATAAAACACCCATTTTTGGGACTTTGTCTCAAGAGGTTTGTTCCTTACACAATCGTCTGATCCCTTTTTATTGTTAGCGACTACCGCGCGAAACAATTTGGCACGTCCAGTGGGACATTAGTTTTTGGTATTGAAGATACAAAAGGTGAAACAATGCCTCAGAAATTCGATAAGGAAGCAGCAAGTCAGGGAGGAGTCCAGTCTGTGATCGAGCGATATGAGGAGCAGCATAGCTCTCCACGAACAGATGGACAAAATCAGAGCAATCATAGTCTTTACAAACCAATAACAGTTGAGTACTCGAACCATGCGTGCATTACTCGGAGAATTCACACAAGATGTCGTTGAACAGGTAAATCTACGAAATATTCATAATATGGAAAGATTTACCCAGAATGGGAATGCACATCATGACAACATGGCTAAACAACTGAATACTTTGAATGAAATAATGAATAAATTAGTAGGCCAAATTTGTCGGCCAGTTGTGCATCTTGCAAACCACTTTCAAATTAGGACAATTGTAGGATATAATCCCCCAGCCCTAAGTTTAAATCAAGGGGTAGAACCACCTTTTGACCCCTCTACTTCAAACCAGGGGGGTGGTGTAATACCAAATCAGAATAGTGGCATTGGTACACCTAACTTGGGGGGTAATCTAAATGTAAGAGATAATGTCCTAAATAATGGACAGAATACCCCACGTGTTAATGATGAAATAAATGTTCAGGCTAATGGTAACAATTGCCCAAATCATGGCAACTTTGTTGCCAACCAAGGACCAAACATCAGGCCTCAAGTAAATCAACCGGTCAACCAACCTGTAGGAATTCCATATGACCCCAACGTCATGTTGAGGAATCAGATTATGGAATCGTACAGGACCAGATGGCTTTTGGAGTACGTCCTGTCATTAGACCGATTTACACAAAGCTATATCCTTATTGGGTAGACCAAGTATATCCATGGCCTAGAGGGTATAAAGTGCCAGAATTCTCACTGTTTACCGATTTAGGAGATGTGTCTACTCTAGAACACATATGATGATTCACACTGCAATGTGGTGACGTAACTGATTACCATAAAATGAGGCTATTCTCTAGTTCATTAATAGGAGTAGCATTTTTCTGGTTCATCAATTTGCCAGCAAACTCTATCCAAACATGGCAACAATTGGAGCAATTGTTCCATGCTCAGTTTTATAAGACTGAGTCTGAAGTTACTTTGGCTGATTTGACGAATCTACGTCAACTGCCAAACGAATGGGCAGAAGGTTTCCTTCAAAGGTTCAAGACGGCAAGAAGTAAATGTTTTGTACCTTTGCCTGAAAAGGAGTTCGTCAAAATCGCTTAAGGTTGCTTAAGCTTTGATTTGAAAAAGAAATTCCAAGACAAGGAATTTCCTGATCTTTTCCAATTGAGCGTGAACGTGATTAGGTATGAACGATTAATAAGAGAAGAAGAACAAATGAAAAATTCTAGCAAGGGGACTTATTATAGAAACCCAAATTTTGATGTTCATATCATTAATGACGAGTATTACGATCAAACTGAAATGTATTTGGCCGAATTAGTTAAAGGAGACACATATACTTGTCATATAATGGCTAAGGATGAACCTATAAAAGATGAAAATATAAATGCTAGAACGTTCTCGTTCGATGTAACCAAAGCTGACCTTATATTTGATAAATTATATAAGGATAAGCAGATAAAGCTGAGCGATAAGGATAAATTGCCAAGCCCTGAAAGTTAAGGATAAAAAATATTGTAAGTGGTATAATGCATGGTCACATTTGACTAACAACTGTTTGGTTTTTCGTCATGTGTTACAGGATGCCATTGAATCAGGACGAATTACGTTCGAGGATAAGAGGAAGATGGCAGTGGATGAAAATTCTTTTCCACGGCCATTTGGAGTGAACATGGTGACGTCTAGTTTCAAAAACAAATTGCCAAAATTCAAATTGGTTATAAATGATGGAGAAGAAGACCCTGGACCACATCCCAGTGTCTTTGAACGTATCAAAGGGAAGGAGCCTAACAATGATGAAGACGTCCTATGTGCAAAATGCAAAAAAGAAATGAGTGCAAATGCAGAGAAACCAGGGATATGGCAGCATCACCATCGCCCTAGTTTTTTCCCCAAACGCTCAGTCTGGTAGAGGGCGGGGTACATCGTTTTATAATGGACCGCCTTTTGAGAGGCAGTTCAGGCTAGTAAATAATGGGAGAACATTC